CTGCAAATGCTGCTGGCTACCAACCAGGAATTATGAGTGTGGCTTTTATGATGGGCACACCCTTGGAAATAGGGTGGTTTTGTTCTCCTAAGGAAAATCAAAGAACCTACTGAGGCTTGTAGTGAAAATTAAAAAAAAAAAAAAAGCACTTCTCAGCCTAATAGTGTAATGGACAAGGCCACCCTAAAATGTCCCTGTGATGCAGGTGTGATGGCTCAGTCTAGACAGCTCTTTCATAAAAGAGTAACCAACCATTTCAGTTTTGTTCTTTGTTTCTGATCATTTTTAACTATCTAATACTAAATAAAGTATGGCATTGGGCCTGACTAGGTATAGGGTAACTACAAAATTATTCTACCCATAACTTACTGTTCAAGCCTTTTGAAAACAATCCTTCCCAGAGTCTAACCTCTGGGCAGGAAATTCTGAAAGTGCATCTGTCTACTTTGTCTTGTGATCATCACTTCATGTATGCCTTCTTTTGCTACTGGCAGGCAAGTTTCTAACAGAGAATTCAGTTATCTAAACCTAAGAGCTATATTTTTAAAAATTATTAGATATTAACTCAGTAAAATGAGGCTCTGGTTCTTATTTACTCATAGAATCATAATATTTCTGACTTGGAAAGTCATTTAGACCAACATTTCTCACATTTTAATGTATATGTTAATCACCGGATGATGATGTTGCAATGCAGCTCTGGAGTGGAGGGTGAAGATTCCAGAAGATACTGCTGGTTCATGGGTTACACGCTGTGGTAATAAGAATCTTACAGAATAATATTCTCCACATTTCTTTGATCACATATCACTACAAGTTTTTGTAAATTAAGCATGCATTAAAATATTAGTTATATTTTACACTAATGTATTAGTCCAGCATAATTTCATTTTTATTTAAAGAAACAGCATTATTTCTAGGACCATTGATCCTGATAACACCCCTATTATGTGAACATGCAGCGCAGCTTGTGTTACACTGGGCATAAGAAATTCTCCCTGATCCAGGAAGCATATCTGATCTATCATTTGTTTTGTATCTATATGTGTTTGGAGGTATGAAAAAAACTAATTTTTTTTGTAGTATTGGGAATTGAATCCAGAGCCTTCACACCAAGCTGCATCTATAGCCTTTTTTTTTTTTTGGGCAGCATCTTGCTACGTCCCTAAATTGCCCAAGGTGGGCTTGAACTTGAGACCCTCCTGCCTCAGCCTCCTGAAAGTGCTGGAATTATAGGCAAACACCACCACACTCAGCTCTAACCTTTCTTATCATTGTGGAATTTCCTATCATTGGAAAGGGTCTGACTTCCTTTACATATAAAGAATTCCTCTAAAACAGTAAGAATAATAGCAATAAGAATAAACTTTGGCGAGCCCTGCCAAACTTTAGTTTAGCTTGAAAAAGAAGTACTTATAGTTCACACACTATTGAAAACATAGCACAATAAAAAAGAGCCAAAGGTATAAATATCTATGATGAACAAATGTTTTAAAATGAAAAGAAAATCAACCTCACTCAGATAAGAGAAATATAAATTAAAACTACCATGAGGCATTGTTTCTCACCTGTCAAAATGGTAAAAATTTAAAAGTCAAGTAAATACACTGTGTTGGTGATGTTGAGGGAAAATGGGTACCTTCATGCAACACTGTGGTAATGCCAACTGTTATGATCATCATGACAGATGCTTAGTGAGGTCATTACAAATTAGTTTTTTAAGGAATACTGAGAAAATGCTAACAGTATAATATTAGGTTTAAAAAGATGCAATATATATCTAACGTGATACTAGAAAAAACAGTACCAGAAGAAAACACAACAAACCATAATAAAAGCTGTTTGTGGATGGTAACATAAGAGATGATCCTAATTTGTCTTTTCTACTACCCAGCATTTGCAAAATTTATGAGCCTGTGTAATTTACATAATAGTCTGGGGAGGAGGTGGTGTCAGCACACAGGTGGACCTGGCTTTAAATTGCAGTTTAGAAGTTCACAGTAAGACATAGTTGAGCCCCTGGCTTAGCTACACTCCTAGGGAAAACTGATGTAGTCATTTCTCACGATTCGAGGTAGTTATGTTCTACAAAGTTGCTATGATCACTGAATTAATGAATATGGAACCACTGCTCCTAGGGGAATATGGGACTCAAAGGCTGGGGCTGTAGCTCAGTGGTAGAGTACTTGGCTTAGTGTGCAAGAGACAGGCAGGAAAGAAAGAAGGGAGGGTGGGAAAAGAAAGAGAAAGAGCATGTGGAAGGAAGGAGAAAGAAAAAGAAGGCTGAAAGACAGAGGAAAATAGAAAAGAAAGAAAAAGGAAAGAAAGAAAAGAAAGCAGAAGGAAGGAGGGAGGGAGGGAAGGAAGGGAGGGCAGGCAGACAGGCAGGCAAAAGAAATACAGGATTGGGTTCCTTCAAGCCTCTGATCATATTTTTGGCAACCTATCAATATATGACTGTGTTCTGTGTATTTCTGTCCAGTGACACCTTATGTAATAGATACAGTACTTTTGATTAATTAACAGTGAACTCAGCCTGAGAGAGGACAGCCCCGAAAAGTGCTGCAATTTATACCTGAACGAAGTTTATTGAACATACACATTTTCTCCATCAGAAAAGGCACATTAACAGCCCCACTGGGCTTAGAAATACTAGATGGCACTCCTGTACTATGCTTGGGAGTCATTTTAAATCATGAAATTGCCAACAAAAAAGCATACAAACTTTAAAAATGTGGCGCTAAGACTGTGAAAGGGACATTTGGTTGAGTTATCACAGCCAAAGCAAGAAAGCAGAGCATCGCCTTGTTCCTGCTGGGATCACAAACAGTGGACAATTCAAATTTTTTGCTACTCTGCAAATCTCCACGAATTACTGGGAAAGCTCCAGCAGTACTGATTTGGGAGATACCAATAACTTTTCAAAGTAGGTAAATTCATAAATACAGAATCTGTAAATAATGAGGATCAACTGGAATTACAGCTACAGTTTTAAGGAAAGTCCTTAATCAAAAAGAAAGGGCCGAACATCAATATTCTGCAGCTGAACTTCATCACAGAGCTGTTTAAAGTTAAGCACCTCACGATTTATAAAAGCACTCTCCCCAGAAGGCACTTTCCATAATGGAAATGCAAGCAATATGATTCATTCTTCAGTTTATTGGATATATTTATTGTCTTCAACAATAACCATCTCTGTTTATTATTCAATGAAATTCAGCCAGTAGTTACTGAGACTCTCCAGGTGGAGGGCATGGAGACGTGCGGGATGATCTCAGTGAAAGCAGTTTATAATCAGCCCCCGTGGGAGAAGGGAGGGGAGACTGAGGCAATTCCCAACTCCAGTACAAGTCAGAGAGAATACAATCGAGGCCACCATTTAGGTACAACAAATGTGAGACTGGTAAAAATACAATGCTATGAGGATCAAAGGCGGGAGAAAGAGTATCCTTTTGGGACTGTCTAGAAAAGTTAACAGAGATAATTATATTTGAAAAGATCTTGAAGGATTAGTAAGATGTAACTGGAGCCACGGAAAGACATGTTCTGGGAATCGAGTGGGAACCAGCTCAGGTGTAGGGAAGGCAGCGTCCTCTGATATGTTAACTGGCAAGCAAATGGCTAAATGAAAAAAGAAGACAGGTCCAGCCACCCTAATCTTGTTTCTAGAAACTTCTTGGTTCATTCTACACTGTGGTGGTTAACTCTTTCCCTGTTCATCCCGCCCCTTTTTTTTTGGTACCGGGGATCGAACTCGGGTCCTTGAGCTTGCACAGCAGGCGGCGAAACCACTGAGCTAAATCCCCAGCCCCTCGCTCACCTTCTTAACTATACTACATATGAAGACAAGCAGGGATCAGATCTCATTCTTCTTTAGCCTCACTCCCTGTGCCTTCTTCCAACACTCTCGACACACAACACACATCTAACATAGGAAAGATCAACCTACACCAACGCCTGTGTCTGGCCCATCTTCAGTAAATATTTACCCAGTCACTATTGGCTTGGCAAACACATTAAGCCTTTAACAGGCCTGGACTGTTTACTAAGAATACAGGTTGTTCTCATGGAGCAAATGACTAAACTTTGCAACAGGAAGTAACTGTGTGGAGAAGGGAATCGTTCAAAGTGCCACAATTTTATATTCCCCTTTTTTTCCATATTTAACTAAAATTAAACATTAGGTACTTAACAGAATCTCCAAATTTTGTGACTGAACTTGTAAATGCATAAGCGTGTCTTTAGAAATCCTAATGTTTAGGTTCGATGGTATTTTGGTCCCTTGACTCTAATTTCCTAGAATTTAACACAAATATTTATTGAGTTCTTGGATTGTCTTTTGAAGTTTATAATATACCATGTGAGCTTAAGCATTTCTGAATATTCTTGCACGGAAACAATTTTCTATATAAAATTATTAGTTTCTTTTATCTCCAATAAATTATTTTAATTATAAAAATATTTTAAGAAGCCAATTCTTCCTCTTTAGTCACTGCTCAAATATGAATGTCTCCAGGGCTGGGAATTTAGCTCAGTGGTTCCGGCGCCTGCCTCACAAGTGAAAGGTCCCGAGTTCGATCTCTGGTACCAAAAAGAGAAAAAAAAAGGAATGTCTCCAGTGGCAGGAATTCAATAACTATTAAGAAGAATAAATATTTAAATTTGAGTATATTTCAGGTAAAATAGGTATTACAATTCTATAGTAGTCTGTAGCTAGAAATGTATCTATTAATTTCAGCCTATTGTTTATTCATTACTTTTAAAATGGAATTTTATATTAGAATTAGGAATCAAGTTTTGCCAGGCGTGGTGGCACATGCCTGTGATCCCAGCATTCAGGAGGCTGAGGCAGGAGGATTGCTGCAAGTTCAAGGCCAGCATGGGCTACATAGAGTTCAAGGTCAGCCTGAACTACATAGCAAGACCCTGTCTCAAAAAACAAAAAACAAAAAAATCAAGTTTTCAAATACACACTTTTGCAGTCAAACTATTATACTTACTGTTTCAAAACCTCGATGTGGGTGATCAGGAAATCCTCCAGGTCTACCTCCTTTGAACTCATCAAACAGTAAAAATGGATCCAGATTTTTTAACTAAAATAAAAATAACATCCAGCAAATTAGATATGCCTTTTAACCCATGCTACCAGGGCTACATTCAGGAGCAAATCTAGAAAAATTCATTGAAAACTCCATAGCCAGTGAGCAAACTTTTGCAATGAAAATTGCTTTGAGAAAGAACCCCTCCTATATACACACATGGAGATTCACTGATTATATCAGAGTTGACATTCTCTGAGAACAGCCTAGAGCAGACAAACATTTCATGGTCATCTAAGATGTAAATAATCAAGTACAAACAAGATCAGTCTGTATCCCAAACAGATTCATAACAGCGTGGGGGAATAGATGAGAAAATCAATTATTGCAATGTGAGCATAAACATCGGGAGGAAGACAACTTTACACATATGAGAATGGAGTGGGATCCTGGAAGGCGCTACTAGGGAGGTGGCCCTGGAGCTGGGTCTTCAAGTAAATGTAGGGAAAAGGGGGAGAAGGAAGGGTATTTCAGGGCGAAGAGCAAAGAAACAGCCTGGCATGCTTGAAGACATGCAAGGGAACTACTCTGTTGGGAAAAATGAGGCACATGGAATTATGATGCAAGACAGGCAGAGGGAGAGAGGTCAAATATTAAAAACATTTGGATCTTATCCTGAAGGTGATGGGTTTTAATCAGGGGTTGAGGTCATCAGATTTTAAAAGATCACTCTATGCAGAGAGAAGGGACCTAAAATGTGTCATGTACATGCACCACCTCCCCATGAGGAGTGTCATCATTATGTGTCACAAACATGTATTAATAAAAATAAAAATTAAAAACAAAACAAAAGACCACTCTATGAAAGATAATTTGGTAAGGGCAGGTAGGAGAAGAATATTGAAAAGTTCATTTCAATAGTTTGATACGAAAAATTAAGATGTATCATGTACAGTACAAATCCCCTATGATGAATGTTATCATTATGTATATCTAAAATGTACCAATAAAATTAATTTTTTAAAAAAAGAACAAAGGCAACAGCAGTAGTGATGGGGAGTGGCTGAGTGAGTGGGTAGATATGGGGGGGAAAGGATGAGCATTCGATGGCCCCTCAAACTTGTAGCTTTGGTGCCTAGGAAGACTGTAGGGCCACTAACCAGCTGAAGGAATGTAAGAGAAGCAAAATAAAAGATAGATAATAGGAAGTAGGGAGACTTTTTTCAAATGAGAAGAGCATCAAGAGATGGAAGGAGGAGGAGGAAGGGGAGAAAAAAGAATTGAGATGTGTTATGTACATGGACCAATTCTACACGAAGAATGTAATCACTGTGTACTGCAAACATGCACTAATAAAAAATCAAAACTAGGAGAAAAAAGAGAACCAGCAGCCTTGAAATAGCTATGGTAATTTAATTTTAGGCCACACTGAGTTTGACATTTCTACATAAATGTTACCTATATGAATTGGAAATACTAGTGTCTGTGTACATTATATTATGCAAAGAGTAGGTGGTCACAGAACACAGACCTCAAGCTCAAAAAAGAGGTACAAACAAATATGCTGTCCTCAGTATATCTTCATGATTACCTTGGTTATTCTTGACCATTTGTTAAACTATAGAAATTTTAGAAAATTTATCAAATTCTATGAATAAAGATGTTGGACTTTTATTGGAATTGATTTGAACCTATGGATCAATTTGAGAAGAACTGACACATAAATGTTTATATAATAACATATTATTTATATAATAGTTTTCCTATTTATAAAGACAGCTGTCTCCACTTAAAAAGGTCTTTTAAAATGTCCCTCAATAGGATTTATAATTTTCCTCATAGAGGTTTTGCATATATTTTTCAATTTTTTCTAGCTAACATATTTAATGATATTATAAACACCATTTTAAATTATCTTTTGAACAGTTTGCTGCTGGGGATTAGAAATACGAATAGAAAAGTGATTTTGAACACTGCTAAACTGTCACTCATTTTAATAGTTCATCTGTAGCTTCTTTGGGGTTTTCTTTATAAGATATTCATATCGCCAGTGCATTCTGCCAATAAGCTTTTCCCCTAGCTGACATGGTGGCATATGCCTGTACTCTGAGCACTCGGGAAGCTGAGGCAGAAGGATTGCCAGTTCAAGACCAACCTGCGCTACATACCAAGTTAAAGGCCAACTTGGACTACATAATAAGACCCTGTCTCAATCCACCCCTCCTCAAAAAATACTTTTCCCTAACAGTTCAATTTATTTTATTTTATTTTGCTTATATTTGGTTAAAGCTGTGACAGACTGCAATTTTTCTGTTTTGCTCAACTGTCCTCTACGTATCTTCTCACTCATGGACTCAGGCTAGGACAGTGGCTGCTATGGAGGACAAGCATGGTCAAGCCCTAAGTCAGGGAGGAGAGCACCTGAGTCCTGCCCATGGGAGCCATGAGTAATGCAGTAAGCATGGGTGGGAGCACATAATCCTATCACAAGGACCGAGCGAGTATCTGGGAGTGAGATTCCAACCAACACCCACTAGCAAATAACTGTTTCTTGTTTCGTTTTCAATCTTTATGATTTCTATTGCTTTTTCTGGTCCTTTGGCAAGCTAACACTTCTACAAGTGTTAAGTTACAGTGGCAGACGTACTGGTCTTGCTCCTGACCTTACCCAGATTGATTTTTGAAGTTTCACAGGTAGCCAGATTGCTTAATGCAGATATTGTTTTGTTTTAATTTTGCTTGTTTTTTTGTTGTTGTTTTTGGTTTTTCGGGGGTTTTTTTGGTACCAGGGATTGAACTTAGGACCTTGTGCTTTTGAGGCAGGCAGCAGAACCACTGAGCTAAATCCCCAGCAACTTGTGTTTTGTAGATTCCCTTCATAAGATTCAAGAGCTTCCCTTCTAATTCTAGTTTATTAGGTTGTTGACTGTTTTAAAAAACATAAATGGATGTTGAGTTCTCAATGCTTTTTCTGCACCAATTGTAATATTTATATATATTTGCTGTTTTGCAACTCTTTTTTGTGTGTGATACTGGGGACTGAATACATATGTTTTAAAAACATATAAATATAAAATTTACATATAGTATATAATTTAAATTTTTAAATATAAAATATAGAAACAGTATATGTAAATTATATTTTTATATATAAATATAATATAAATATGTGGTAAATATATATAAAATAAATATAATACAAATATAATATAAATATTTGAGCCAAGGTCTCACTAAATTGGTAAATTGCCCAGGCTGGGCTCAAACCCGAAATCCTCCTGCCTCAGCCTCCCAGAGTGCTGGGATTATAAGCATGCACCACCATGTCCAGTTTCCTTTAAACTCAGAATGTTAGTAAATTACATACAAAGATTTTCTAACATTAAACCAAATTTGCTCTTTTCAGATATTCCAGACTTGGTCATGACATATTATCTTTTACATACATTGTTGTATTTGGTTGGATAATATTTTATTTGTAACTCTTGCAAAAACATTTATAACGTGATATAATTATCCTTTCACTTTGGTCATCACCTGGTTCTGGCAGCAATTTCATATAGTGATTTGAGGCGCACTTCTTCCAGTTTCATTTTCTGGAGAACTAGTCCTTATTCGAATTTTCTAAATCTTAAATATTTGGTAAAACTTGTCTGTAAAACCATCTGGACCTGTTATCTTTAAGAAAGAATTTTAAAATATGGATTCAATTATTCTTACAGCAATGAAACTATTCAGATTTTCCATTTCTTTCTCTCTCAATATTTTTAGACTCTAAGAGTTTCTCTAACTTCTTATCTGTTCAGCTAATTGATTTTTTAAAAGTTCTTTATTTCAGGATATTGACTCTTTTATATAGTTAGAAATAAAAGTACAAATTTATTTCTTTTTCTCTGGTTTTATTTTTCTTCTTTTCACTTTCTGTGAAAAAACATGCATGCAAATATATGTATTCTTAAAGAATTTATTCATCAGGCTACTTCAAGGTTTTTGGCCTAGCAGAGTTTCAACATTTTCACTTTAAAATGTGGACTATGATCCATACAAAGCGAGGCAAGTTTGTAATGGATCGCTGGCTAGTGGGTCATCTGGTCCAATATCCAGTTGACAGTCCGTTCAAATATGGATTGAAGCCTCTCAAAAATACCAAAGGGACTCCATTTAAAGATGTTTAAAATTCTCCTTATCCCTCTTTCTACATATCTGTCTCCAAAATTTCCATCTCCTCTAAGTTTTTAAATCTCTTTAAATTATCTGAACAGTCTTCTCCCCTCTTCCTCTCTCCCATTCGGGATTGACCCTTTTCTGCTCGATCAGTAGCATGGAACCCACTGCCCTCTCTAGGGAAAACCAAGCATGCAGATCTTGGATCTAGTTAGTCTTGTCCTGTCACTTATTACTGCATTTCAACTCAATGAAAGCCTAGGAAAAGAACTGGGGTTGGTAGCAAGAGAGGTTGAGAATTCTCATACCTCATTAAAACTTTTTCTTCTCACAGATAATATATACTTTGAAAGACTGTAAGGATTGGAAAGGAAAACTGTGGTATCTGTGGTACTGCACTGCCCCTATAAATCTCTGAACCATTATTTCCTCAGTGCAAGACAAAAGGCTCGGAGCCCCAAAATACACTCCAGTTCTGCACTGTGGTTCTATGGTATTAAAATGTGGGAAAGAAATAGTTTCTTGATATCAGAGTTTCGTATGAACAAATATGAAACACGTCCTGTTACCAGATAAACTGTGACAAGGTCCCCCGCTTTCAGTCCCCGTCATCATCACCACCCTCAGAACAGTAGTAATTTACTGGTATCGAGAAATGGGGGTGCAGGGAGGAAAATCTAAAACTGCGGAAGCGGCTTTGGAACTGGGAAAGGGCTAGAGGCCTTAAGAGTTTTGAGGTTCATCCAAGGAGAAACTTGCATTGCTCTGAAGGGACAGTTAAGAGCAATTCTGAGGGCCCAGAGAGAAAAGAGGAGAGCTGCAGATAGTGCCTCGATCTTCTTAAAGAATGTCTAAGTAATCCTGAACAGCAAAGTCCACTGCAATGAAGT